CAGTGACTGGGGTAATCAGGATGGGTGTGTCAGAGGCAGTGTGATTGGCACAGGACAGAGTAGAGTTTAGGGTGGTTGTACATAGGGTCGCTATGAGTCGCAAATGACTCGACGGCACATAACAACAGCAATTCAAATTATTTCACTCAATATTCTGGTATAAATTCTTAGGTTGCTCTTTTTGTTGTCTTTATAGCAGCAACTAATTAAAAAGAAGTTGGTTTAAGAAAATGTAAATTGATTTGTTCTATGAGGGCAAACTCTTTATTCTGGGCAAAGTAGCAAATACCCTGATATTCTGAAAGAAGTGGTTGTTTAAATGAATAAAAATTATAGTGATAGTTTTTATTTTGTTGTAGAAAAAGACATCACTTTTCCATTTAGAGCTAGAAAATGTAATAAGTTTTTAGGAAATGTCATTTTAGCTTGCATAGTTTCAGGTATTGTCATGTGCTGTTGAATGAATTCAGGCTGTAGTGACTCTGTGTTAAATACTCTAGGACTTAACCTAGGCTCACATTTTTACAGTGGGAGATAATCAGGGCTTTTCAACTGAGCAAATAAGGCTGGGTTCAAGTTGTTGACTTCTTAGTAACCGAGGGCTTAACTCTTGCACCATTATAGCTGCTTATTCTAGTATTAAGGCTCTTTAACCAGACCTTAATTTCAGATTTCTTTTGTTGAAGTAAAATGTTTCCAAAACTTTTTACTTACTACCGTTTTCAGTCAGATCTTTATGGAATACAATTTTGAAATGTTAAATGCATTCTTAACCTTTAGGGTTTAATAAGTAAAATGAATATACTACTCTAAAGACCAGGCACAAAGTAGCTATCAGTAAAATACAAGATTCTAGGCTATTCTATAACCTGCTCATAATTACGATATCTTTCTGCTGAGTTATTGTTCATCCTTCCTAAATTCTTGATCTTTTATTTTACACTTAGCAGTTGATGGGTATTTGATTTATTAAGCAAACATAATACTGCTCTTCACTGTACATTTATTTTAGTTTTTCATGTTAAAACTGAATTGTTGAAAGGATCTTTCCTCTTCTCATTTGATGTTGTAATAAGTCTTGGAGCACCTGTTCACATAAACTGTGTTATGCTGAAGATTTTTAAAAAGTACTAATTAAACTGAATCCTTCCCTTAAAACCAGAAAGACCATTTTATGCTGGATAGATTTCCACTTACGTGAAGTAATTTACATAAAGTTATTTGTACAGCTGCAAAAGTCTTATACTACAGTTAAATTTAGAAACAACAAAAACTGTTGGATATGGGATGAGAAACCAGTGAATGCTGAATCATTCAACTCAAGGGAAGTGCATGATGTGGAATTCAATACTTGCTTTTTCCTCATTTGCAGTCAAGTTAACATTGTTGCAGTATCAAAGTCCAACCACCGGTCTCTTTCCCACTAAAACGTGTGGAAATGATGAGAAGGCCAAGATCCACGACAGCCTGTACTGTGCTGCTGGAGCTTGGGCGCTGGCTCTCGCGTACAGGTAAGGCTTTGTGTTTTCTGCTGGAAACTCTTTAAGTCGAGATACTCCAGTCAAGTTGGACATTTCTCCTTTGGCTCTACTGCTGACTCCTTTATAACTTGTTCGCATCCCTCAGTCATGTCCCATCCCTTCTAGTGTTTAACATTCTATGATTTTGTTATAAAATTTTTGACTCTAGCTTTCCAATCCAGCATTTGTTTTTGTCATAATTAATTGCCCATTCACGTTAAGTTGATTAATTTCAGTGGAGAGGGAGTCATGGTGATTAAATTTGATAGATGAGAAACTGGAGCCCAGAGTAGTTAACAGAGTTTGCTTTGGTTTTTTTCTATAATTTGTTTATTTCTGTTTGGTATTTATCCCACTTCAGTTCTCTGGGTTATCAGTTTCAAGTCAAGCAATTACAAAGTGCAGCCCTTTTTGTTGTTCTGTGCCATTGAGTTGGAACTCGTTGCATACCCTCCAGCGAGCAGAGGCAGTAAGTCAGACAGGGGGAGATTGCCTGGATTTCACCTGTAGAGCAGCTGGTGGATTTGAATCATGTGCCTCTGGGAAGGTGGTGCAACGCCTTGCCCACTAGGCCACCAGAACTCCCCATAAAGGAAAGAAGAAAATCCTTTCACAATGCGAAGTTTATTTCTTTCAACACTGGGCTGAAGTACAACAGTACTGTTGAGAAGTGTGCAAGATTGAACAGTGTTTTGTTCTCAGTGACACCTAATAATAGAAACAAACATTTGTATAAAGTACCTAATATATAAATACCTTCTGTGGGCACTGTATACATCCAGGTTTTGTTATTTAAAAACAAAACAAAAGATACTAGTCCATTTTAACCATTAAGATTGGGTTTGTTGTTGTTGTGTACTTTTTTGAGTCAGAACAGACCCATAGGAGACCCTCCAATAGGTTTTCAGAGGCAGTTAATGTCACAGGAGGAGATTGTCCATCCTTCTCCCATGGAACAGCTGGCAGATTCAAATTGCATGCCTTCAGGATTACAACATGATTTCTTATCTCTAGGCCACCAGAGCTCCTAAAATAAGAATGTATACATTAGTGAGGAGGTCCCGGCACAGGCTGGTGGCATCAGGGGAGGAGGTCCTGGCACAGGGCAGCAGCGTCAGGAGAGGAGAATGAGAGAGACCCAGAGAAGGAAGAGGAACTGGAACTGAAAAGAGTTCTCTTTTTATAGGGACTCTGCCTATGATAGTGGCCCAGAGTATAGCTCATATCAACAATGGTCATGTGGTCCTGTCCATCTGGATGATGGAGAATACTGGTCTAACAGGGTAGCTCCTTTAAAGGACAATCCCTCCGACCTGTCTTCAAGAACAGCATGGACAAGACATACAGGAATTTATATAAAAAGGCCTGTAGTTCTGTTTCCCATACACAAGAAAACTTCTGAGGCCATCCGTGATCAACTGTGAGTTGTCCATGTCAGTCTTAATGAAAACACATGGTTCTAAAGGAATAGTGAGACCTGATCAGTTCATAATTTCAAATGAATTATCATAGGCAGGTCGTTTTTTATTACAGAAGAACATTTCCTGAGAGAGCGCCAATTTGATTGTGACGAAGTTTGTCTGTCACATTTGTCTCTTTGTTTTACTACCTAAAAATCAAAGAATAGCTTTCTCTAGAAATATTCTTCTGCATATATATATATAAAAACATACAATTCAGCAGTTGCTGCTTGTGCAATTTAGGGCCACTGAGTTGATTAATTTGCAACCATTCTAACTTACCTTTCCTAAATTGTTCCCTCATTAAAGATTCTCTGCTGGCCTTTGGAGTTGGTGTTGTAAACTTGATCACATATAGTTAGTTTTTCAGGGTGTTCTGGTCAAGAAAAATCTTTATTATTTAAGCTAACCTATTGTTGAGTTTTAAGACTTCAGAGATTATATTTGGCATAGGTTTAAAGATTATCTCAGGTCAGAAGTTTCAGAGATTCATTCACCCGCCAGGATTTCAGAAAACCTCAAGTCCAGGAGAATTTGAAATTCTGTTCAACACTATCCTTTGGATTAGCATTCTTCTGTGCAGTCTTTGATCCATATGTTCAGTGGTGGTAGCCAGATAGAGTGGAGTTCTTCTGGTCTCTTGGCAGGGCAGGCAGTTGTTTGTGGCGGCAGCTAACCAAACGTTCTGTATCCAACTCCTGTTCCTGAGTAACCTTCCTCTCTTCCAGTTAAGTGGGGGCTGCTGTTGTGATTTGAGGAGCCGCTTGCTTGCAGGCTCCTAGCACCCAGGCACTTTGCAGGGCAGCTTAACTTTGAACTAGATCAGTGAACATCATACATTAGTATTAGTTTTGATTTTACATATTACATAGTAAGAATTTGGTAGGTGGTGGTGGTTTCTTTTTAATCCAAGAACTCTCAGTTTTTTCTGATGAGATTTAATGGTACTTACTCTTTTGCTTCATGCTATTTGGCTTATGAAAGATTTCATAGGAGAGCCCTAAATTCAGATAACAAGAACGAAATACTAAATAATATCCTAAATGTACTAAAATCATCTAGTTACTGTTTCTACTAGCTTTTACTAGTGTCACTGAGAAAAATAAGTTCATTTACATATTCTGCCTAAGTGCAGTATGTTGTTGTTGTTGTTGTTGTTGTTAGGTGCTGGCGTCTGTTGTTTGGTGTCTGGAGTCTGTTGTTTTGTGTCTCTAACTCACCAGCATTTCAGACAACAGAAGAAAATCCTGCTTGATCTTATACAATATAATTTCATTGTTGTGAAGGCGTGGTAAGGAATTGTGCTGCCACCAGAGGCACATGGCTTAAAAGGCCAACTACTCTGTGGGAGAAAGGTGGGCAGTTTCCTCCCATGTGATAATACTGCCTCTGAAAAAACCTTTGCAGGGTCAGCATTCCCTACAACAACATTGTTGCCACTAGTGTTGGGAGGTGAGTGTCTTTAGAACATGAGCAATACCTTTGCCAAGTGGTCAACCTTGGCAAATGAGGCAAACTGATGCCTTTTATCTCCTTATATAAAAGAGTGGAACATATCACGATGCTAACTTCTTTACCAAAATGTCAAACATGAGTCTACCTGTGAGTAAATGATTCTTTTTTGTGTTTGTGTTGTTTATTTCTTGAAGAAAAATTCTAGATAGGCTGTCCCCAGTACAATTCAGGAAGAAGGGGTATCTTGCAGAAAGAAATCAGTGCGTTTACTCTGAGTTACAAATGTGATTTCTTTTAAGACAACTTGACTGGACCCTTATAAAGTATAAGTATCTTAAAGAGTGGGGGGAGAAAGAAAGTCAGGGGAATGATGAAAAGCATGAATATGACAACTAAATGCCTTATGTGGTCTTTATGCATGACCATTATACAGACATGTGTCTTTATATGTGACCTGTCATACGTTTCCAAAGATAGTACGTTTTTAAATAATTGGACATAGAAATGTATACTGTATGCCAGGTGTTTTTGTTGTTAGGTGCCATCGAGTCAAGTACAACTCCTAGAGACCCTATGAACAAAAGATCTGAACCTTGTTCTTTAAATATCGTCACACAATGTTATACTTGAGTTGTATTTTTATGAGTGTGAAATGCTGCTTTAGATAGATATGAAATTAACATTGCCTATTGTAAAAACACATTATGAATATTTGCATATAGCTTGTGATCAGTAAGTTTATTGAGTTGAAATAAATTTAAGTTTCTTTTTTTTTTTAAATTGAAAACACTCTTCAGATCACTCTACTACTTCAGTTTGCATGCACACAGCTTGCTAAAGAGAACAAAATCTTATTAGTTTCCATTGGGTGAATGTACCATAATTTCTCAGTCCATTCGTTTGTGATTGGACATCTGGGCTGTTTCCATGCTCTTGGGATGGTGAATAATACTGCTGTGAACACTGGTGCACAAGTCTCTGTTTGTGCCTCACTTCTCAGTTTCTCAGGGTATATTCCAAGCAGTGAAATAGCTGGGTCATATGGAATTTCTATGTTCACCTTTTTTTGGGGAAGTGCTAAACTGCCTTCCAGAATTGTTGTACCATTTTACAATTCCACCAACATTAAAAAAAAAAAGAGTTTCTTTCTCCTCCACATCCTCTCCAACATTTATTATTTGCTGCCCTGTTAAACTTTGCCACTGTTCCTGGAGTGAGATGGTACCCGATTGTGGTTTTGATTTGCATCTCTCTTATTTCCAGTGATTTGGAGCATTTCTTGATGTGTCTGTCTGCCATTTGCTCTGTTACTACACAGTACACGGGAGCAATGATTTTGTAAACTATTTTCTAACTTTTGGGGGGACTGGAGAGCATTATGCTGAATGAACTAACTCAGTCCCACAAGAACAAATATTGTATAAAACCATTATTGTAGAATGAGTGTAAGGATCCAAGGGGGGGAGGGGAGAGTGGAAGCAGAGAGATGAGGATGTGTTGGGAGGGGGCATTAATCATGGAGCTGTACAATTTGATGAGAGGGTGAGGGAAATTGGAAGAATCTGTTCTGGAAAACCATGCATTAGAATTTTGTAAGTAAACTAATAAAAAAAAGTCGGTTGCTATTAAAAAAAAAATCTTACTAGTCTCTTGTGGCAAAGAGATGACTTCCTTTGAGTCATCACACTCACTTTAAATCCTAAAAAAGGTAATAAATGCATCATATTGGCTCAAATATCTTTACTGAACTGCAACTGATTTTTAATAATTCTGAATAATAATATTATTCTCATTTCCATATTATTTTTTTCAAAAAAGGATAGAAAGTAAACATTATAAAAATGGAAGAGAACTTTTTTTTGCATTGCATTATCCTGGAATATTTTAACCTCAGTTTGATCTTTGTTGAAATTGGGAACAGAGAAAATTATTTCAAGGATAGTTTTAGAAAAACTTGATTTTAGTTTTTTCCAATTTCCTTTTCATTATTAGATGTTGTAGGAATGTTATATATAATATTTCTTTGAATCCATAACCCCCCAGTTCCACTATTTATGTTTTATTTTCTCCATATGT